TATGATTTGACAAAAAATTATTTCTGAATACTCAGGCACTAGCTGAATATCGAACGGTATTATGAATCCTGCTATCAGTGATATTACTAATATCGTAATAGCTTTTAGTTTAAAGTGTTTTACTACGTATAATTATTCTCTTGCACGGGGTGTCTAGAGCTCCGACCACTTTATTTCGGCGTCGTCGTCGCTCCCCCCCAGCTGCCTTGTGCCCTTCATGTGTCGCTATATGTGTCGTTGTGTGCCTTGTGCCCTCCATGTGTCGCTATATGTGCCGCTGTGTGTCGCTATGCGTATCCATGTGTGCGTCGCTATGTGTCGCTGTGTGTCGCTATGCGTCGGATATGTGTGTGTCGATACATGTCTCTATATGTCGATATGTGTCGACATGTGTCGCTAACTATGCGTCGCTCCCCAGCACCCCAGCGCACCGCCCCCTCCGCCCCGACGACTTTATTTCGGCGTCGTCGTCCCCCCCCCTCTCCCTCTCCTCAGCAGCCCAGCGCGCTGCCCCCTCCACCCCGACCACTTTATTTCGGCGTTGTGTCGACATGTGTCGCTATGCGTCACTCCCCAGCACCCCAGCGCACCGCCCCCTCCGCCCCGACGACTTTATTTCGGCGTCGTCGTCGCCCCCCCCCTCTCCCTCTCCTCAGCAGCCCAGCGCGCTGCCCCCTCCGCCCCGACCAGTTTATTTCGGCGTTGTGTCGACATGTGTCGCTATGTGTCGCTCCCCAGCACCCCAGCGCACCTCCCCCTCCGCCCCGACGACTTTATTTCGGCGTCGTCGTCGCCCCCCCCCCTTCTCCCTCTCCTCAGCAGCCCAGCGCGCTGCCCCCTCCGCCCCGATCACTTTGTTTCGGCGTCGTCGTCGCCCCCCCTGTCCTTTTCCCCAGCAGCCCAGCGCGCCGCCCTCTCCGCCGAGACCACTTTATTTCGGCGTCGTCGTCGCCCTATTTCGGCGTTGTGTCGACATGTGTCGCTTTCCCCAGCAGCCCAGCGCACCGCCCTCTCCGCCCCGACCACTTTATTTCGGCGTCGTCGTCGCCCTATTTCGGCGTTGTGTCGACATGTGTCGCTATGTGTCGCTCCCCAGCACCCCAGCGCACCGCCCCCTCCGCCCCGACGAATTTATTTCGGCGTCGTCGTCGCCCCCCCCCCCCTCTCCCTCTCCTCAGCAGCCCAGCGCGCTGCCCCCTCCGCCCCGACCACTTTATTTCGGGTCCGTTCGCGCCCCACCCTGTCACTTTTCCAGAGGCCCACCGCGATCCGCCCTCTCGACCCGACCACGTTATTTCGGCGTCGTCGGTCGCCCCCCCCCATCCCCCTCTCCCCAGCAGCCCAGCGCGCCGCCCCCTTCGCCCCGACCACTTTATTCTCTTGCACAGCTGTGCTCTAGAGCTCGGACCTCTTTATTTTCGTTCGTTCGTCGTCGTCCCTGGCCCCTGGTCCGGTCCCGACCCTGGACCCAACCTCCCCCCCCCGTCCTGGCCTCAGCCCCCCTCGCCCCGCTGGCCCTGGCCCTGGACCCAGCCTCCCCCCCACCCGGCCCTGGCCCCAGTCCCCCTCGCCCTGGACCCTTTGTTTTCGCTCGTCGTCGTCCCTGGTCCGGTCCTGGCCCTGGACCCAACCTCCCCACCTGGTCCTGGCCCCAGCTCCCCTCGCCCCGCTGGCCCAGGGCCTGGACCCAGCCTCCCCCCCGCCGGCCCTGTCCCCAGTCCCCCTCGCCCTGGACCCTTTATTTGGATAACGAGCTGGCTCCTAGAAGCTAGATTTATATTTCTATACGTATGTATCCCTGGCCCTGGCCCTCACCCCCCCCCCTGGGCCACGGAACACTTTCGTGTCCCCCCTGGGCCACGGACCTTTATTTTCGTGTCGTTCGTCGTTCGTGTCGTTCGTCCCCCTGGCCCTGGTCGTCCCCTGGCCCTGGCCCTCACCCCCCCCTGCCCCCTGGGCCACGGAACACTTTCGTGTCCCCCCTGGGCCACGGAACCCTTTATTTTTGTGTCGTTCGTCGTTCGTGTCGTTCGTCCCCCTGGCCCTGGTCGTCCCCTGGCCCTGGCCCTCACCCCCCCCTGCCCCCCGTCCAGGCATCCCAGGGCAGTCCGTCCAGGCTTCCCAGGGCAGCCCCCCTGGGCCACGGAACCCTTTATTTTCGTGTCGTTCGTCGTTCGCGTCGTTCGCCCCCCTGGCCCCGGTCGCCCCCCTGGCCCTGGCCCTCGCCCCCCCCTGCCTCCCATCCAGTCCAGCCTTCCCAGAGCAGCCCGCCCAGGCTTCCCAGGGCAGCCCCCCTGGGCAACGGAACCTTTTATTTTCGCGTCGTTCGTCGTTCGTGTCGTTCGCCCCCCAGGGCAGCCCGTCCAAGCTTCCCAGGGCAGCCCCCCTGGGCCACGGAACCCTTTATTTTCGTGTCGTTCGTCGTTCGTGTCGTTCGTCCCCCTGGCCTTGGTCGCCCCCTGGCCCTGGCCCTCACCCCCCCCTGCCCCGCGTCCAGGCA